TGATTGGGAAAGACCTCAAAAGTACAGAACCTTCATTCGCAAAGAAACTGAAAGTAAATAATATGTTTCAATCACAAGAGATTTGAAGGGTACAGTCCCAGACTCAAGCATTGAAGCTCAAAGAGACTCAAACACTGCGCGTAGATTGGTACACAACTCAATACTATGTTAACACATTAAATACAACTAAAATTAATAAAATTAAAATCATTTAAAAGAGGGAATACTCGTTAAATCTCAAATTCATTCAAAATATAATAATATTATAATATATTAATACATATGAGAGTATAATCTTATTTTATTAAATTAAAGTTAATTATTGTTAACTTAACATTAATATAAACAAGTGATTTAATGATGATTTTAAAAGACAAATAACAATGAATTTTAAATCATTATTATTACATCTATAGTTAAAAATTATGGAATTGACTATAATTTTAACATGTTATTATAAATTATAAATTATAAATAGGATTATAAATATAACTGTTTTTTATTTTCTTCATCATAAATTTTGTTTTGTCAGAGTAGATCTTGATTCACTATAATAAACTTAGAAGGTTGTACTAATTTATTTTTGTTCTTTAACCATGAATGTTAGTTAGCATAATATGATAATTTTTTCCTTAGAATATCTCAATTTCTACTCTCTTTCTGTCCCAAGGCAACATCAAGTAACAATGAAAAAATTTTGTGATGAAAAGTAATATTTCAGAGGAAAGAAAGAGAGAAAAGAGATGAACTATAGCTATAGAGAAAGAAAGAAGAAGAAAATAGAGAAAAAAAAGAGAAAAAGTTGGATCATAAAAGAAAAATTAACAAAATGGATGAAATAAAAAATATAATGAGATATTCAAAGATTATAGGTAAAATATCGTTAAAAAATTAAACATATAATAATAAATATAAATGAATCATCATTAAAAAATTAAAATAATTTAAAAAATATCATAATTTTTTTAACAATTATCTATAATTATCGTTAAAATATATCACTTTTTTTAATAAAGTAAATATAAATATATTATGAATATATTTTCTAATGAATAATATTAAGTTTATTTAACAATAAACTAGTTAAATTAAAATATTAACTAAATTCAACATAAATTTTAAATTAAAAAGTTATGATACAATTTAAGTATGTGGTACAGTGTTTTAATATTTAATTTATTATATATTAAATAAATTCATCCTTCAAACAATAAATTATTTTGTCTTTATTTTGTTTTTCATATTTTATGTCTAATTGAGTATACATTTTATGTTAACTAAGTTAACCAAATGATTATCTAAAATTAAAAATAAAATTGTTGAAAAGTGAATTAGGTAAATTAGTCCTAGAGGCATAACCTAAATGAAAAAAAGAGTGTTAGTTTTATATATAATCAGAAGCTAAATACTAAGAGATGGAAAAACATATTAAAGGAAGAAATTCACACACACACTCACACACATATATATATATATATATATATATATATATATATATATATATATATATATATATATATATATATAAAGGAAAAAAATATTAAAATTTAACAATGAGTTAAATTTTAATTAAATAGAAATAATAAAATTTGGTGACGTATAAATACAAGTGAAATTTTTTTACAAACTTAATATCAATAATGTTTTTTATTAGATGTGATATAATATTTGATTCTAATTTCATTCATAAAAAAAATCGACATATTATCTAAACTAAAAAAAATAAAAATTCTGTACGTAGGTCGTATATGGGGCATGCATCCTAGCTTTATTCATCCGAACTTTGTGTCACTTTTCTAAAACAAGTAGCAATGTGTTTTAATAATCTAAACAAATAAGTGCATGATTAATGGGTCCCTTTTCTACAATAACCCTTAAAAGGGTTGAAGCTAGAGGTATATATGTCTCTAAATGTATATATTCGAGTTAGATCTCTTCAGCACACCAGATCCAGTCACCATTGTTATAGGAAAAACTTGTGAAGTAAGTGTTGCACATTCAGTGTTATCGTGAGAAATTTTACTAGTTAAAAGAGTTATAAACAACAAATTTTAACCATTCATAAAACCATAATTTTTCTACAATTTTTTTCAGTACTTTCTCTAAATTTCTCCCTTCTTCTCTCGTCATTTTCTACATCTAAGTATATCTAGTATTCTGATAATAATGGAAATCATTTTTATCCAATCAAAATTTTAAATAGAATATTTTTCTTTTCTATTTTAGAGCATTTGCGTATAAATTTGCGGAGATTGTATGTGGAACTCGGGGTGCATGTATGTGATTTTTGTCAAACAAAGATGAATCTTAGTTAACTTACGAATATTATGGTATATTTAAATTGTTATTTAGAGTTTCCTAGGAACATAATCTGATTCTAACCAGATTGAGTGTTTTTGAAGTTTTTAGAATAAAAGATTGAGAAATTGAGGTAAGAAAAGTTAGTAATAAATTTCTTAAGACCCTATAATAGATAATTTGGACTATGATAGTGACTTGGTTCCATTGTCTATTTTATAATTAAGAAATTGATTATGAATTGATATTATTGATATTTGTATATAATTGAATGAGTTGAATCAAATTTATTATGTGGAAAATATGAGTATGGAATATTAGTTAGAATAATAATAATTAGACTAGATATTACATATTTTATAAGGAAATGATGTAATAGAATTTCAAAAGATAACGGTAATGCCTAGAAAATAGTTTTAAGGTATATTTTTGCAAGTTGTTATATTATAGTTTTTTCAAGCGACAACTGATCTCTTGAACAAAATGTATAGAAGAAGAAATGACTTCACTCGTGTGTATTTTTACTTAAGCGAAAATATCTCGTTCAAATGAAAAACTCTTAGTGGAATGAGACTTGATTCGAGTGTATTTTTATTCAAAAAAAAATATTTCTCTCAAGCAAAAAACTTCTAGTAATTTAAGGCAAGTAATCTCAAGTGTTTTCACTTAATCGAAATTTCCTAGAAGTTTCTTATCTAATAACTTTCTAAAAATCATAAAAAATTTCTTCAAACTTCAAATTTAGCATTCTATATACCTAAATTGAAGTTCGAAAATGAGAAATCCAATAAAACAAGAATTAATAAAAAATATATCTAAAAAAAAGTTATGATTAAAATAATAGGTAGAGGTAAAATTAGAAAAATACATTTTGTTTATAAATGTGATAAATTGTATGTATATAACTTAGAATATTATAACATATGTTATGAGCATGAAATGAGATGTTTTGAGTATTATTATTTACATAAAAAAATATTTTGTTATAATGCAAGAACTACTCTGAGATATCCATATATGTACGTTATATATGTGATGAATTATAAGATAGTGTGGTAGTGTTTTGTGTGTTCTTGCTATTAAATTATATCTATTAAGACTTAATCGAGTTAAGAGAGTAACTCATAATCAATTGAGATATATCTATGTATGTGAGACTAAGTTGAGCTTAGAATGTGATTCATAATCGACTGAAATATATGTGATTGTAGGTAAATAGGAAGGTACTATGTAGTAAAGTGTGTAGGGACATTAAATTAGGATTCTGAAGGAGATTATCCTGACTCTACTAATAACTGGAATCACATAAATGAAATAATCAAATGATGAAAGTGAAAGAAGGTTTCTATGACTTAACTTGTGGTGTAAAAAAAAAATGGTATCTGACAAGTCATAGGATTTACCTTATCATATGAGAAAATGTATTTTATTTATGTACCTATGTTGAGATATTTACTTAGGGAAAGTAGTGTGCTAAGTTCAGAATTTCTGAATCTAATTCAATGTTCAATTTTCTTGAAGTCTTCTAGAGTCTTTGTGATATGAATTAATATGATATGATAAAACTAGAATAAATTTGTGTAGTTGTAAATATATGGAGAGATGCTTGAAATTGTATTTTTAGAACAATTTTAAATTTAATATGTTTATTTTAAAATACTAATATATCAAATATATGTTTATATTCTGTGTTAATCGTGTGATTTACACGAAAATAAATCATCCGGATATTAAAAACTTAGTAAGAGTAGGATGAAAGATAATAAAATCTTAGATGTTTTTATTAATTTTATATTTTATAATATTTTAAATATATGTAGAAAATCTCCCATAAAAAATGTTATATATTTTAAAAAATACCTTATTCATATATATTATATAAATATTTTTTCGGGATTACACTAATAATGCAAATTAATATATCCTTAATCATTATTTTTTTCTATGCTTATCACATCATATTTTTTATTATGTCATATCTAAAGACAGTTTGAATATAAAGTTAATTATAAGCGATTTTGAGATTATCTCTACTAAAAAACTCTCCATTTTCAAAAAAATAAATAAAATTAAAATCACTTCTAATTTATATTCAAGATATCTTAACACTTTTCTTTTTTATCTCTTTCCCTCCCCTACTATGTAATACATAAGTGTCTATGCATTGTGCTGGTGAGAGTAGAAATTACGTATACTTTCTTTTGCCATGTTTCATCTCGTGGAATATATACATACACAATCAAAAGAATAATAAAAAATTTTTCTTTTTGTAAAAAGGTGATTAACTAACAGTATATAACATGGGACACTGAGAAATCATGTCTCGTACAAACACACCAATTGTTTAACCAAAAAGAAATCAAAACGCAGTTTGAAAATGATAATATTATTATTCCACCGACCTTTCTCAATGTAGAGGAGAACTTATCTGGGCATGCTTTCTCTTCAGCGTAGCAATAACATCATCACTGCAGGAAAATCACTCATTCTTTTGGACCTTTACGGGGCATTCATATAGATTGAATTGGATGGAAAGTCAGAAAACTAAACACAACTTGACAAAAACGGACGCTAATTTATTCAAACCCCAAAATGTTGAATACTGTTTTGCAACACATGATCTTCCCCCACAGACGTTGAGATCCATGCATAATTTGTAAGAAGAAGCATTTTGGTAACTTTATTTTTCTATTCTTGCTGCGTCACTTGGAAGGAAAACCCTGATCTTTATGACGGGGATGGCTTTCACTGCTGCTAGGAGAATGGAAAAGTTTAGGCCTAACCAAGCTGAATGGCACTTTCCCAGATTGGTTCATGAGATGTTGTGATGATGAACTGAGAGAATTTGCCAAGAGATTTTGAGAACCTGAAGTCAGCATCTGATAGTGGTTGATTTGTCTTGCATTCATGTCCATTGCTGCAACATGGGATGGGAAATATGGTTGTGTTGCTCCAGGAGGACACACCAAAATTTGAGGAGTAGTGCTCCCAGTTGATAGAGCCAAAGTTGATGGGATTGGAACTACATTAATGCTGTGTATATCTGTTTGGTTAACAAATCCATGATTTTCCCATTGAGCAACATCGCCTGAATTATGCTCCCATTGGTAACCAAGAGATGGCATGGTGTTCATCAAGCCCAAAAAGGAAGGATGGTTTGGTCTTGGTAAGAGATTATTTGGCAAAGCATGTGCACCATGGCAATGTTTATTATCACCACCGTCATTACTATTTCTATTAGTATTATCATTATTATTATCATCATCCTCTTCGCTTCTATTTAACCAATTTGCCTTATCACTAACCATTTCTCCTGACCTGGATTTCCATGAAGTGTTGTTGTTTTGGCCTGAACCTTCACGATAGGTGCTAACTTCATTACAAGCAACAAGAGATGGATAACCAAGGGTGAAGTTACCTGGAGGAATTGGAAGTGGTGGCAGATCATCAATTTCATGCTTTGCTGCATTGAGCAACCAATCAACAACCTTGCTAGGTTGATTGAGTCCAAGCCTATCTTGGAGATCATAGAGATGAATTGCTGTTGGCACTGAAAGCCTCACCCTCCTATCTCTTAGTCCTCTTACTGTGCACACCTTGCTATGCCTGTCTTTTCCTCCAAAGGCTCGAGACACACGAACAATCCTTGGATCCTTCAATTTCAGCCATTGGGAGGATGAGCTCGATGAAGCCTTTGCCTTTTCATGATCACTTGAAGAAAGACCTTCTTGCTTTAGTGGAAAATCTGCTTCTTTAGTACTATTGATCATTGTCTTTCTTTCATAGTTGTAATTGGTTTTCCTTCCTCTATCTTCTCTTCCACAGTGTAAATATCCAAGTTGACAATAATCCTAGCCAGTATCTGCTTCAAAACAAATTAAGATTGAGAAAATAAGAACATACAGATACAGATAGATAAAGGCTCATTCATGGCAATTATTGAAGTTGAAAACTCGGTCTAAACGAGGTATATATCAATTCAGCTCAAAGTATCCTTTCCTAAAGGAAATTATAACTTTTCTGAAGATGATAACTTCAAGAAAAAAAAAAGTGAATGATATACCTTATTAACGTATCTAGGAAAATCAAAGTTTACTCTAATTCAAAATTGATTTTCTTCTCTACGACCTGAACCTCCATGCGCTTTTTCTTCAAAATAAATTAAAATTTCCAATTTAGAAGAGTCAAATTTCAAGCATAACAAACTAGGTCAGCGTGGATATGAGAAGAAGAACACATGACAACAAGAGATTTCTCACTGGCCAACAACAAGACATATTAATTACATAATGAATTAAATCATACTTAATGAGATTTCGAGGGGGAATTGAAGAAGAAGATGAAGAAGAAGAAGACATAAGAATAAGCAAAAATTGAATTTTCATTAAAAATATGCCCATCTCAAATCAGATTATGTGAAATGTTCGTTGCAAGATATTGTTTAAGTAAAAGAAAGGCAAGGCAAAGACTAGGTCAAAGCAATTAGTGGGGTGCAACGAACAACCATGTGATTATCGAAACCAAACACACAATATCAGAACAAGTTTCACAACGAAAACGTGCATAATTGAAGAGGTTTATGGATAAACCCTAGATGTAGATGATAAGATATGAAGTATATCTAGCAAGAAACCTACCACTGATTGATGTCATGCAAATTATCATAGGAGCAAAGGACGAAGTGTGCACCTTAGTTTCGATGCCAATGTGAAACTATTTATGAGGGTTTCTGAAAGTTGGAGTTTGGTTTGATTGCATAGAATAAATTGGAGAGGTTGAGTCCTCAGCTTGGAAAAGGAGATGCCGGAATGGAACCGACCACGCCGCACTGAAAGATAAAGCAATGGCACACAGGTGGCCACGTGAGATATATTAACCTCTTGTCAAATAATAAATTTAGAATCCTTCATCTTATCATTTATGGTCAGAGCCATCATCGACAATGATTTCATTGATGATGGTAGTTAGAAGAGGCTCATGTTCATATTTTTGGTCTTTTATTGTCATGAGTTGTCAAATTATAAACACCATTGTAACTTATATATATATATATATATATATATATATATATATATATATATATATATATATATATATATATATATATATATATACTGTGTGAATTTTCTAATATCTCTATAGAATGTAGCATGAAATAAGTTTTCTTCAAAAACTTTCTGTAAACTATTCGCCAAAAATACTAGTAAATATGGGAGATTCGACTAAAATTTAGTTATCAATAAAATTTGTGAAAAGAAATGCTAGCAAACTCTCTTACACTTTTTCAAATACTATCTCTTCAACCATGTGATGTAGAAATCATTAAATGCAGTCATGGTTGAAATTGATCAAAAACTACTATATTTGTTGGTTTCACATTTCATTTAATAACTTATTTTGGTGTAAGAGAGAGTTTCAATTAAATGAAAATAAGTCATTTAATTATCTTTAAAATCCACGATAAGTCATTAAATGAAACATGAAACTTTTTTCATCAAATTCAACCCATGAAAGAAAGAATGTTTGAAAAGAAAGCGTCGAATACCTTCTTCATGGATGTAATAGTAACTAAAAAAGTTAACCATTTTTTATTTTTATACTTTGATAAGTCATTTCTATATTTATATTAATGTCCTTTTCATCTTAATATTCTTTATATTTTCAAAATCACTTTTAATAAACTAATAATTTTTGTATCAAAATGTTTTGAGAAAAAAGGAATAACTTTTAAATCTACCCATCATCTAAATTATTTAAATGATGTATATGCTAAAGCATAAGGTATATAAAAATGTAAATGTGAGAGAAAAATTGTTAGAAAAAAATGGATTAAAAAGGATGGGAAATTTGTGACAAAGGAACACAATTAATAACCCCAATGGACCATTTGCTACACGCTTCAAAAAGCGGCTACTCATACTTTATCGACAACTACAATAGATTTGAACGAATCACATGGAGGGCCATAGAAGCAAGACAAAATATTTAGTATACTAATGAAAAATGTGAAAATAATAACGATGAAATTAATAAACAATATATAGCTTTGAAATTATGAATTACGTAATTAATGTTTAGTATTAAAGTGTAGTATTTTAGGTAAACTATATTTCCATATTTTAGAAAATGCTCACACACTTACTCTTTGGAATGAGACAATAGATGGAAGGAAAGAAGGGGATAAAATTGGAGGTAGAAAACAAAGGATTTGTGAAGGCTTCACATGGAGAGGAAAGAGAGAAACCCACTTTGGATAAGTCATTTTTGGTAGTAAGATTCAAAAGTTGTGGTGTCTAGTCCAAGAGAATTGTCATGTCTTTGTGTATGATAACTACTTCGGACAATGTAAAGCTACGAATAGGTGAGGGACCAACATATATGTTATCTTTTACGACACTCGCTTAGGACCACACAATTCAACACAGTTTTTGTTTTTATGAATAAATAGTTGGTTCATGTTTCTCTTGGACGTTTCCGTACTAATTAACATAATAAAAAACAAATATTTTTTACTTAGAAGCAACATCTCACACCCACATAGTGGAATATTTAATCGCATGTTTTCTTTAAAGGAAAGTCAATTAATGAGGAGATGAAGAAACGTACGCCACTTTTCTTTCTCTTCTTCATTTGTCAAAGACGAGTTGGAAATGATTTAGTCTTCACCAATGCAAGGAGCTGGAGGTAGATATATGCCAACTTCCAAACCCTAAAAAAAGTTATTCCCACGAAAAAGAAGGAACTTTCACTAAATTTTCCTTCCTAACATGGACAACCCCTGAAACATGCAGAAAATGAGAACTGATATCTTCGTGTTTATGTAAAAAAAATTAATGAAACTCCATGGTTTGTTTCAGAAAGAAATAGAGAATTTAAGGAGTTTTCCGAATTCAGTAATGTTGTTATAACTGGGGTGGGGATTAATACTGACACAAACTTTCTAGGTTTATTTATTGAAGAAAAAAAAATTATCTTTATTTATGATACAAATATAAATTTGAAAAAAAAAAAAGTGTCTGTGATATATTGCTTTAATTCTACGTCACATACACATGACATGGGAAAACCCTAAGACATATTTTATCTCTCTTACATGTTAAGTTGGGCAAGAACTAGATGCACTAACAAACCAACCAAGAACTTAAATAACAATATCAACCATAGAATTGCAGATACGAACTCGAATCTCTCTACTTTAGTAATTGTAAAAATTTGATAGGTAATTATTGAATCACTAAAAGCATTGGTATATCACTTATTAGTTAACTGTAATTGAAAGAGTGAAAAATTAAATTTATACTTTTTAACATTACATAATATATTTAAGTCATAAAATAATATAAAATTATAAATTAAAATACAAAAAATTGTAAATCAATATAAAATTAACAAATGTTTTAATATATATATATATATATATATATATATATATATATATATATATATATATATATATATATATATCAGGCAATCTAGTTCTACAGTACACACTATATGAACTTTATTAACGATAAACAAAACATCAAGAGATTAAGGTTAAGAAGTTTCTGAGGAAGAGAAGAATATAAGGAGGAGGAAGAAGACGAAGTGAAACACAGAAAACCAAAATCTCCTTCTCCTATCTGAAAGGAGAAAGTAAAAGATTATTCTTTTAACTGTTGAAGATGTTCCTGAGGGAATCCACACTCCAGTGTTGTTATTCATCTAGGAGCACTCTTGCTAGTAGTACCTGTACCAGACCAGAGAGGGTGATATATAGACACAAAGAGAGGGACAGAGAGAAAATCTAAAGGAAATTGAAGTGAGTGTAGGGGTTGGATGTTAAGGGACTCTAAATTAAGTAACAAGTATAGTGAGGGGCCTCTCAAGAGGGTTCTGAGAAAACTGGGTGATGACCAAAAACTGAGTCACTGAAAAGAGTACAATTATGGTCCAATAAATGGTCCACAGATTCATAACAGAAGCCCTTGGTCATGGCTCATGGGTAATCACTCTCACCTTCTGAATAACCAGAATGCAGCAGTGTCTGCAGGCTATGGCTAGCACTTGGCAGCTGCAACTTCATAGGTATTCAATGAATCTGAAAATACTTTTTTTTTTTTCTTTTCGTTCATATGAATAATGAAGAACAGACCTCAGAAAATTTATAAAAACTTGCATACTATTCAACTAACTGAACTAGATATAACTCAATAGTTTGATAATCTGGTTAAACATTATGTACTCACATTTATGAGACGATGCATGTAATAAGAGATTTTATGATGTGGAAAAACTTATTCGATCAGTGACAACCTATAATATTGTGAAGAAAGTGAAGTGAGTTTTAATTGACTAGATGTTGTACTTATGAGCAATTTGGAAGTAGTTAAATCCTATAATTAAGTATATGAATTAGGTGAATTTTTGGATTTAATTATGGTGTTTATTTAAATGACCCTTTTTACGTATTCAGATTCTAGGGTTTCGTAAGGTTAAGACTGCAGGAGAAGAAGTCTGGGTCTGAGCTTGATTAAACACTCGTATAATATTATAATAGTTATGCATTTTTAGTCCTCAATGTAAAATATTTATTTCCTAATATTTGAATTTTTAAAAAAATATATTAATGTTGAAATACCTAATTCAATTTTATGAAATTGACTCAATAAAGATATATACTACTACAATAGTGATGTAATTTTATTTTTATTTTTTTGTTAATTTTTTTCTCTAAAGTTTGTAAAGTTAATTTTGTCTCTTAACTTGATTTTTTCCCTCAAATTTAAAAATAATATTTTTATCCTCAAAATTATTAAAGTATTTTTTAATCTAAAAAATTAAAAATGATTTTTTTATGCATTTCAAATTAGAAATAATTTATTTTGGTTTTTAAAATTACGGTTATTAAAGTTTGTTAATGTAACTATTATATGTTTAACGTGTTTAAAGTTTTTAAATTTTTTTTATTCTTTCATTACAATCAAAATCATATAGTCTCTTATTATATTCTACCTTGTTATTTACCACTTTGTTGTAAAATGAAGTCTTTTGTGATTAAAGTAAGTAGTTGCAATTAAAATGTGTCAATATCTTGTTTCATTTAGCTTCACTAGATTTTAGGGGTTTAAAATCATGAGCAAATTTCTCTTAAAGTATTATTTAATATAAAGTTTAAATTTTCATAAATAATATCTCTATTTTTTCTCCAATAAAGAAAAATAAAGATGTCATAAGTTAAAGAAAAATATTTATTATGATTTATATATTTAAAAAAATAGTAAAAATATAAAAACAAGAAAAAATAAATATATTTAAAAAATAAAAAGATATTTTAAAAGAAGTTAATTATAAAAAAATATGAAAACCTCTTATATATCAAATAAATTACATATCAGTTTAAAAATCAATAATTTTTTGATGATTACATTTTAAAAAAATTAGGAGCATTTTAAAATAAAATACATTTACCCATGAAAATATTATGAATCCCCACTAAAACTGTTCTGCCCTTCCTTATTATTACATTAAGCAAATAAAATAAAAAACAAGTTTTTTTTTTTTCATTTTCACTCTCTCCCATTTCCTCCTGCTCCTTTTATTACATTAACCAAATGAAAAATAGGTTTTTTCTTTTTTTGCTTTTCCTTCTTTATTTTCTTTTTTCATATCAATAAGAAAAAAAAACTAAAAAAATTATTACCATATCTTGAAGGACAGACACTGCATATGGTCCAATAAAATTTGGAGGGCAGTAGTACAACTTTAGTTTTTTTTTTTTTTAAATAAATAAATAAATAAAAGAAAAGAAGAAGAAGATAAACATAAGATGCTTTGTTGGAATGTGTGCGAGTTGTAAAGTTATTGTCTTGGGCGTGCGCATGCTGTTTGGTTTGTCGGCTCATTCTAATGTAATTTCCGGATTACTTAAGCATCTCATAATTTTACTTTTTTAGTAGACATACATTATGTACCCACAAAACTACAAACACATACTCCTTCTCCCAATTTAATCTAAATATTTCTAAGAAAACTTCTTTTTATTTTACTCTTTTCTTTATATATTTTAAAATTATGATAATCACAACATCCATTATTTTATATTAATAAACAAATTGATTTTACTCTATGATATGTTGATTTTAATGATGAAATTAGGAGTGTTAATATAAATTTTAATCCAAGTTAACCTAGTTTCTCACGAATTTAAATTGGGTTGGATTTAATTTTTTTATTATGAATCAAAATATTTGGTTTATTTAATTCATATATTTTAAATGGATTTAAAAGTTGAACTATAATGAATAAATCAGTCGTTCATAATATATTTTAAGTTGAACTATAATGGATTTAAGTTTGAGAAATTAAAGTTTGGCTACAGTGTTAGTGCTATGTATAATGGATTCATCCTCAATTAGTTCCAAATATTTGTTTCATTACATATTAATCATTTCACAATTAATGCAGAAGAGAGATGCTTAAGGATCATTGCACAAAACATCTTAGAAATTTGAAAAACTTTAATAATTTGCTTGTTTGTAAAAAGCAAGGTACTGTAATGAATGAGTGTCTGCTTTTAAGTCCCTGCTAGGGCTTAAAGTCACAGAATAACAGGAGGAGTAAAATCAGAAGGTAAACTGGGGAAAACAGAGAGAAGACAGTGATATTCCAAGAGAGTTACCAATGTAAATCTAACTTTTCATACTGAGTATATATGTCTCCTAGAGTGATGTATAACATATTCTTCATCTCAATGGCGTTTTCATAAAATTTTGTTAACTCCATATCAATTTAAAAAGAAAAATGAAGAAAGTTGGTGCAGTTGTTATGCATGCTTTGTCCAGAGAACTGTTACTTTTACCACAGTCGTCCATCGGTCAAATCCCTGTGCCTCATTCTTTCTCACAAAAGCTTTGTTGCAATTGCACTTGATCCAATGTTCACAGCTCCTCTCTCCTTTGTAATCCACAAAACAAAATGTGTTTATTATTTCATTTATATGAGTCAGAGGAAAGTAAACAATTTATATATATACATATATAACATTATTTTCATTTAATTAAACAAAAATGAAAATATTTTATAATCAATTCAATTTAACAATTTTTTTTTCCTTTTACATGCATTTTTTTTCTTTTTATTTTATAATCAAGAGAAAAAAATATTAATTCTGATAAATTAAAAATATAATAATATTATAATATATAAATGGAATATAAATTTTATTTTAAAATTAGTTTTATAAGATATTAAATTAAATATCTTATGATTTTTTTTAAATAAAACATCTCTCTTATTTTTCTTGCATTATTAAACAAATTGAATATCTATATATATATATATATATATATATATATATATATAGATAGATAGATAGATATATAAAAGTTATTATAGAATGAGATATATATTATTAAATAAAAAGTAAAATGTTACAGCAGCTTTCATTGATAAAAATAATCTATAAAATAATAATAATAAATAAATAAATAAATGAGTTTCCTTTTTTATTTATACCAGTATATGTACACATTTTCTAGAACCCTCTTGTCCCTAAATATTGCTCAACAACTACGTTGTTTATATTGTTTAAAGATAAAATAAGAAATTACATGAATAAAAATATAAATTACAAGAAAGAATATAAAATTCTCATAAATACTTAAAAAAATAAAATAAAATATTGTTTATAGATTAAAATTATTTATGCCGAAAGGTAATTTTAATTTTTGGGGAAGTTTTTTTCTTTTTATTTTTCTCCAATAAAAATTGTTGTGAAGAAGTTTGTACGAACATACACTAATTTTAATTTGTATAAATATTTATTTATTTTATTTTTATATTTTTTTAATGAATAAACTTAATCAGGAAACATATAATTAATTGTTATAACAATTTCAAAAATTCAAATTCCATTAGAATGAAGACAAGATATTGAAAACAATTACACTTGGTTAGGGTTTAAATTCCTCTCTATCTTTTGTACAACTGGGCTCAGACCCATGGGCCAGAGCTTTTTTCAAAAATATTTTGAAAGTATAATCTAGAAATATTTCAGGAAAGTTCATTTTAAAAAAACTTTTGAAAGAGTAAATTTTGAATTAAATCTTTGAAAAAAAATTACATATTTTTTAATGTATTTTAAAATAATTATTTCCATTAAATTAACAAACGTGTAGGAAGAATAGGATGCAAGAATTTCCAAAATGTATACATACATGTGTTGGCCCAAAATATGAACTGAGACTTAACCCAAACTCTGAATCCAGATATAAATGAGTTGAGCATTTTTGTTTGTTCAATAAATTGGTAACTTGAGAAAAAAAAATTAATAACTAGATTTGATTATTAAATAAGTTAAATTTAATTATAGCAAATTTGATATTAAAAATAATTTACTAAATCGTTTAGATAAATTGATGACTATGATTTTATTAACCTTATTATTGTTATAATAAAATATCTAGAAATTTGTTGAGAGCATCAAAATAAATTTTGAACTTCCCTTTTTCTAATAGTAAAAAGTTATTAATTTTTATTTTTAAATTATTAAAATATAATAATATAGAATACATATCATAATACATATATCTATATATAGATTACAATATAATGTTAAATTTTATATTAAATACTAAATTTATAAATATTATAAAAAAATCATTAAAGAAAAATAAATTAATATATAAATAAATTAAAAAATTGAAACTCAAACTTTATTTTCCCAAAAGTAAACTGAAGGATAATTTTATTTGTTTAAATAAATGAGTAAAATTCCAACTACTACTTTTCCATTCACAAAGTAAACTTAAACTTAAAAATAGAAGTGTAACAAAATGTGAATAAATAATATTTTTTATGGATTAAATATGGTTTTAGTTTTTAATTTGAATTAAATTAGTTTTTGTTTCATTAATTTTAAAATTGATTTTTTTTCAATCTTATAATTTTAAAATAGCTTCTTTTAATATACAAAAATCACTGTGTGTCCCATGCTTCCCCATTTATGATTAAAATGAGCTTTCATTTTTCTCGAGGGGAATAGTTTATCTGATAAATTCTCACTTGGTTACCAATTGAAGAGTA